GAAGAGACTCTTTTTCTTCCAATGGATAGTCTTTCCTCCTTTATCGAATATTAGTTGACCACAATAGCCAAACTGTGGAAGGAGCCTCGGTGTCCATCGAAAGATGAATGGATAAAGAAGATGTGGTCTATGTATACAATGGAATATTCCTCAGCCATTAGAAACGACAAATACCCACCATTTGCTTCAAGATGGAACTGGAGGGTATTATGCTGAGTGAAATGAGTCAATCGGAGAAGGACAAACATTATATGTTCTCATTCATTTGGGGAATATAAATAATAGTGAAAGGGAATATAAGGGAAGGGAGAAGAAATGTGTGGGAAATATCAGAAAGGGAGACAGAACATAAAGACTCCTAACTCTGGGAAACAAACTAGGGGTGGTGGAAGGGGAGGAGGGCGGGGGGTGGGGGTGAATGGGTGACGGGCACTGAGGGGGGCACTTGACGGGATGAGCACTGGGTGTTATTCTGTATGTTGGTAAATTGAACACCAATAAAAAATAAATTTATTAAAAAAAAAAAAGAAGGGGACCCTCCTGCCCCAGGCAAGCCGTGGTCATGTGCAGCCCCTGACAGCTGAGCCCTCACCGTGGCCACACGATGACACTGAGCGGGACTCCCTTAAACAGCCCCCGAACCCTGGGCCCACCAAAACCAGGAGAGACAATGACAAATAAATGACTTTGTGATTTAAAGCAGTGTCTTGGGGTGATTGTGCAGCCAGAGGGCGGTAACCAAAGCCAGCATTGTGGGGGCCTCAGAGGGGAAGGACTGCGCAGTGAGGCTGCAGGGCTGGTGACCTGGAACCTCCTGCCTCCCAACCCGCCTGGGATGTGGTCCCTGCCCTGGGTCAGGGGCTTATGGCCGGGAGCACCCTTCCTGGCCTATCCTCAGGGCTCACATGAACTGGGCGTTTCCATGGACGGATTCCTGTGTGACTGTCTGTCACCTTGAGGTCTGTGAGGCTTTTGTTTCTAAAAAGAGACACGGATTTATTTAAAATTTTAAAAAAGATTTTATTTATTTATTCCTGAGACACAGAGAGAGGCAGAGCCACAGGCAGAGGGAGAAGGAGGCTCCATGCAGGGAGCCCGATGCAGGACCCAATTCTGGATCTCAGGGTGACGACCTGAGCCCAAGGCAGACACTTAACCCCTGAGCCCCCCAGGTGCTCCCATGTTCACTCCTTTTAATTGTGGTAAAACACGCATCTCCTGAGATGGGACAGCTGCACTGCCTGTAAGTGTTCAGTCCTGGGGCACTGAGCCCATGGGCCGTGGGGCCTGCACCAGAGTCTGGGTCCAGGACTGTCCATCTTGCCAGCCTGACGCTCCGGCCCCTGTTCCACATCCCCTCCAACAACCCTGCACCTGTGTCTCTCTGTGTCTATGTTCAGCCACTCTGGGTTCCTCACCTAAGTGGGGTCAAAAGGTGTTTGTCTTCTGAGCCACGTGTGTCCCACAGGCTCATCCTCCCTGTGGCAGATGTCATGACACCCTGTCTTTATAGGGTGAGTGAGACGCCACCGTCCGGATGGGCTGCATTGATCAGTTCATCGGTTGGTGGACGTTTGGCTGTTTCTGCCTCTCCACTATTGTGCACGGTGCTGCTGAGAATGCGAGCGTGCACACATGTGCCTGAGGCCCTGCTTTCAAGACTTCTGGGTTCACGCCCTGAAGTGCATGCTTACTTCTCTGGCAAAGTGACTTCGCACATGTTACACCTCAATCCATAAAAAGTGTGAGTTGTGCAGGGCCAGATAGACTAGAGGGGACTGCCCTGCAGCACGGGGTGGTCAAAGGTGCGCAGCCAGCATGTGCCGATGCAGCCTCTCCCTGGGACTGGGGGCTGCAGGTCAGGCACACAGTTCTCTCCCATACATCAAACAGCGGTGTTTCCTGTCAGTGGGCGCGTGGAAATGCCTCTGTTCTTGAGGAGCAGGACTTTTGGGTCCTGGCTCCCGCATGGAAGGCCTGAAGGTGATAGTACCTGCCTGGTGGCCACTGCGGAAATGACTGGGGTCAGCTCTGGGACTCCAGAAGGACTCTGCAGTGCAGCCAAGAGACAGACTTGCACACTGACTGGGTAGCTAGGTGGACCTTCTAGGGCTGTCCAATCGCCCTCCATTGTGACCTCCAATCGCCCACCACCGTGACCACTCATGCTCCAACAGGGAAGGCTAAGGCCCAGGGAGGGATGTGTGGTGCTGGTGCCTATGCAGCATTGGTGCCCAGCTGCTTACCCAAACATCCCTGATGGTATTGCCCTCCTGGGCCCCGGCTTTGTTCCCACTGGTCCAGAGGAAACCCCAACCATGGGGTTTCCTGCTCCCTCCAGCCCCTGGTGACCACGCATCTGCGTCCTGTTTCTACGGACTTAACCATTGGAGATATTCTGTATAAGTGGAACCATACAGAGTGTGTGGCGTCTGTCATGTAGCATGATGTCTTGAGGGTCAGCAGGTATAGCATGGACCCCAACCCATTCTGTGCCTGAATGATATCCTGCGCATGCACACCCTGCATTTGCTTTGCCGGGTTTTTGTTGTTGTTGTTTTGTTTTGCTTTGCTTTTGGTGGGCAGCAAAGCACAGTTTATTGAGCGATAAGAGTTTATAGGATGATAAAGTACAAAAGTCCTGAAGAGCAAGGGGACCCAAGTTTGCCCTGTTTTGCCTATTTACCAGTTGATGGCTTTCAAGTTGTTTCCACCACTGGGCAATGACCAATGTGCTTCTATTGACATCCACACACAAGTATTTGCTGACTCCCCGTTTTTGGCCCTTCTGGGTATACACCTCTGAGAGGAATTGCTGGTGGGGGTGTAATTCTGAGTTTGACCTCTCGGGGGACACCTGCCCTGTTCTGCATGGAGGCTGAAACATTGTGTCCCCACCAGCATGTATGAGGGTGTCAAAGTCTCCCCACATCCTCAACAAACTTGTTATCTGTGTTTTGTTTTGTTTTGTTTTAATTTAAAAAGTTTTTAATTGTAGTCATCTTAGTGCAGATGAACTGGTTTCTCGTCGTGTTATTTTTTTCGGGAGGCAAAGCATCTCTTCTTGTTCTAGTCCAGGAAGAATGTGTGAGAAGTCACCACGGAGCCTGTCTTTGCTGTGGTTTTGATCTGCGTTCCCTTAGTGACCAGTGAGGGTGAGCAGCCCTTCAAGCACATGGTGGCCATTTGCACATCTTCACAGAAACATCTACTCAAGGCCGCTGCCTATTTTTAATTGGGTGGTTTGTCGTTTTGTGCTTTGTCTTTTTATTTTGAAATAATTTCCAACTTACAGAAAAATGACAATATGGTAGAGGGACAACCACACAGTCTTTACCTGAAGACTTTCTCCTCCACTCTTCATGTCTTGCCCCATTTGCTCTTGTACTGTCTCTAGTTTTTTCTCCCCTGAACTACTTGAGGGTCAGATGCAAATACGGTGACCCGTGACCCTTAAATATTTCAGTATGAGGGCTTCATCTACGCAGCCGCGTTACTGTCATCAACCTCAGTCTTCCAGGTCTACCATCCGCATTCCAACCTCACCAGTTGATCTAGTAACACGTGTTTCCCTCTAGCTCGCCATCCGGTCTGCGGCCCACATTGAGCTAAAGAATCACAGCTCTTCCATCTCTGAAACAATCCCTGGGTTTTCCTTAGTCTTTTAGGACTTTGGTATTTCTGGGATCCCTGGGTGGCACAGAGGTTTAGCGCCTGCCTTTGGCCCAGGGCGCAATCCTGGAAACCCGGGATCGAATCCCACATCGGACTCCCGGTGCATGGAGCCTGCTTCTCCCTCTGCCTCTCTCTCTCTCTCTTTGTGTGTGACTATCATAAATAAATAAAAATTTTTTAAAAATTAAAAAAAAAGATTTTAAAAAAAAGGACTTTGATATTTCTGAATAATACAGTTTCTTGAAGGGGTATCTGGATGGTTTTAGTAGGTGAAGCGTCCGACTCGATTTCAGCTCAGGTCATGATCTCAGGGTCTTGGGATCAAGCTCTGCTCAGTGTAGAGATCCCCTCCATCCCCTGCTGGTGCTCTCCACCCCCCCCACCCCCGCCAAATAAATACATAAAATCTTAAAAAAAAAAAAAGCATCTCTCAATTTGGGTGTGTCTGGTGCTTTCTATCATATCTGGGTGGTGCATCTCTGACTGGAACCCTGCCTAGGTGACATGTGGCCAGCTCAGAGCCTCGGGAGGACGCACAACACCTGCTGCCCTTGCTGGTTTATTTTAATCCTTGGTCTAGACGTTGCCCGATTGCTCTACTGTGTGGTTACTGCCCCCAATGCCACTGCCAGTAAACATTCTGTCAGCAGATGCTTTGAGACCAGGCCAGTATCTTGCCCCTCATCAAGATCAACCCCTGGATTTTGGATCCGAGTCCTCCTGTGGGCAACCCTTCTACCTCCGCAACTCCCCAGGTGGGGCGCCAGACCGAGCAGGTAGGTGCTGCCCTCGCTGCCGGCACCCAGCCTTCCCGATCTGACTGGCCTCACGTCCTGCACCCACAGCCTGCCTCTTGTGTGGGCGGCCAGACCCTCTCTTGGAGACACTCAGCTCATTTCCTGTCCCCCGAAGCTTCTCTTCCTCACAGCAGCCACTGAGGAAGCCGCAGGCGAGGTCCAGGGGCCCCTTGTGTCCGGTCACCCCGAGAGGGCCCCCCGTGGGCTCCAGAGCCTGGGGTGGTGCAACCTCGGCAGCCAGCCTGCAGTGGGCGTAGAGGAACCTGCAAGAAGACGCTCAGCAGTTAGGGCCGCCACTGTGAGGTCGGGAGGTGGAGAGCCCACAGGAAATGACTCGGTACAGAGCCGATGTGCCTCTGTCCCGGGACAGGAGCTTGGGCTGCGAGGCTGGGGCATGTCAACAGAGTGTGGGGAGCCAGGGCTGGGTGGGCCCTCGGGGGGCTCGGGGCCAGGTCAGTGTCCCCCTCCCACCGCATCCACCCCCTGGAGCCTGCCCCGCTGGAGGGCGAGCGTGGCTGCTGCTGTGCTCTGCTACATCAACCTGCTGAACTACATGAACTGGTTCATCGTCGCAGGTGAGGAGGGGATGCACTGGGGAAGCACCTGCTCCCCTCACGGGCCATCCTGCTGCCACCAGCCCCATGTGCACACAGCATACCCTGGATGGTGGCCTCCGTCCTGCAAACCATCTTCTCATCCCTGGGGGAGTTCCAGCCAAGCCCCGCAGAGGGAGGTGGAGTTCTCCAGCCAGTCCCCGGGGGCCTCCCCAGCCGCAGGAGCAGGCAGGTGTGGGGACTTGGTGTGTGTAGGGGGCGGCTGGAGCTCTGCGAGCCCGGCTGTCTGAGGCATGGTGTGCAGGGTGGCCTGGCCCAGAAATAGCTCGCCGGGTGCTTCTGAGGCAGTGCTGTGTGCAAACCTTGCACATTCCGACTTCCTTCCTGGAGGCCCAGGGCTCAACATGCCCCATTCTTGTTACTCACACATTCACTAACTCATTCATTCATTCATTCATTCATTCATTCATTCAAGATTTAACTCTCCCCTCTCTTCATTGCTGATTCATTCAGGGTTGACTGAACAAACGTGACCTGTGGGCCTGGAGACGGGGGGTGGGGGGGTGGGGGGTGTTTGTCGGTCTGCAGTTTCCTGAGCTCAGGAATGCCTGGCTGGTGGGGCAGAGGGGAGCACAGGCTGGCCTGGGGGGTGTCTGCAGGCATGTGCAGCAGCCCTGGGGCAGGACCCCCGTGATTCAGAGCTGTGGCCTCGAGTCCAACCTGGTGGCTCGCGGGGACCCAGGAACATTCTGCCACAGGATGGAGTGGGCTGGATGCAAGCCTGGCAGCCCCAGGATGGTGGCTGAGGTTCTGGAGGAACTCAGAACAGGGGTGCAGGGGTTGGGTGTGGAAGGTGGGAAGTGGAGTGAGGGGAGGGCTCAAGGTGAGGGCTCCGTGCAGGCCCAGGGGCATGGGTGGAAGTGTGGGCTCCGGGCAGAGGCGACCAGCGGGCAGAGAGCAGCGGTCTCTGGGGTGGACCCCAGGCTTTGTGGCTGCCGGGCTGAGGCCTGGGCTCTCTGTTGAGACAACGGGAGCCACACACAGTGTTTCTGGGGTGGGGACCACAGTCAGTATAAGCAGGATGAGACAGCGAACCAGGCCCGGGCCCAGGGAGAAGCAGTACAGAGGCCAGGCAAGCAGGCCCAGGAGGCCCTCTCCTGTTGGGACTTCCTCTCCCCGGGGGAAAGCCAGGCCAAGGGTGCTTGCTTGGATGAATGAGGCTGGAAAGGTGCGAGCACCTGGGGCTGCAGGAGGCAGACGGTTTGCAGAGCGGCTAGAGTGTTCTGGGGAGAAGGGGGCCAGAGGAGGCCGGAGGAGGCCGGCTCCACGGGCAAGGGGAAGCCCGGGCACAGGGAGCACCCGACCAGTCCTCCCTCCCAAGGAGGGAAGATGCCTGTGAGCCTACAGGATTTCTGTGGAGCTCTTTACTTTGCTTATGTTTATTTCTTTTCTCTACAGCAAATGGGTCTTATTCGTGTCATTAGAAACGTGAAAAGGGAAGGAAAGCCCCACAGGCTGCTGGATGCTGTGCATTCAGGCCCAAAGCAAACGCCTGAACAAAAATCTCTTACTTTGCCTCTCAGATTCCCTGGCCAATCCTGGCCTGCAGGCGGGTCTCTGAGGTGTGGCTGTGGGGGCTTCTTCCCCTCTGTGATATCCCCAGGTCCCCTGTGCTGGGGGGGGGGGGCGCTGCCTCAAGCTGGGACCCCCGTCCTGTTTCCCCAATCCCAGCAGCACGCCTGTGGGTATGGCTGGAGCCTCTGCTTCCTCATCTGTGTTGGGGAATGCAGACAGTCCCTGCCACCCAGGGGGACAACCCTAGGGCCCAGCTCAGAGGCCCTCTGCTCGCTCATAATTGAACAGTTGCTTCTGCTCTTAATGACAGGGTCTGAGCCCCACAGTGCAGATAAGCAGGTGCCTCACTCTGACTAACCCTTTCTGAAGTGCTGCCAGGGGCTGGGGGGACTTTGGGGAGCGGAGTCAGGTGTCTGGGCCTGTGTCTTCTGTGTGTTAGGCTGAGTGCCTGCTACCTTAGCCTATGGCCTGGGAAGATCCTGGGGGGACTTTGGAGGCCCAGCTGGTGTGGAGCAAGAGCCTGCCACCCTCAGGGAGGCGAGGCTGGGGCTGTACCCCAGGGGACCTGTCTCTGCAGCCCCTGTGGGCACCATGGTGTCTGTGTGGAAGACCCTGGAAGAGCACGCCTGTGTGCACATGTGCAGCCCAGGGCACGTACATCTTTGTGAGTCCATGAACATCCACCCATGAATGTCTGGAGTGTGTCTCTGAGCTGTGCTGCTGTGTTGCATTGTCCCAGGGACCTCCACTAACACCGTAGTCTGAGTGAGCTGCACACTATGCAGCTCTGCACACTATATTGCTCTGGTGATGGTGTGAGCAGGAGCCTGGCTTGTGTGCATATGCAGGCAAGGCTGTGGCGTGGGGGCTCTCGCAGGAGGGTGTATTTGTGCCTCTGTGAGGCTAGTTCCCTGGGCAGGCCCATCTGTGTGCATGTCTGTGGATCCGCAGGCCCTGGGGTGATGCCTGTCCAGGACGGTGGGCACATGTTTGGGCCTCTGGGGTCTGTGTGTCTGTGTGTGTTGATGTGTCCCAGTGTCTGTGTGCAGGCTCCCCGTGTGAGAGTGGGGGGTGCAGAGAATGTGGGCCCCAGAGGCACACCCTGTGCTGGTCAGCGGGACCCTGTCCCAAATGGGGGGAAGCTGCTCTTAGAGCCCCAGGAGGCTACCTCCCATCTCCTGAGTGCTGTCCGTCTGTCCGCAGGCATGCTGCTGGATGTACAGAACTTTTTTCACATCAGTGATAGCAATGCCGGTTTGCTTCAAACGGGTAAGGAGAGACTCCTCACCCTGGAGCTGGGGCCCAGGCTCATGCTGGGGTCCTGCTCCATGTCCAGTTGGGGCTGCTGGGGCCGGGGGCCAGGTGCATCCCCTGGCATGGAGGAGGGGCACGGAGGGCATATGCTGTCGGGGTGAGGGCCACTGGGGGTCAGAGGAGGGGAGAGCTCGGCCCTGGGCAGGCCCCTCGGGTTGGAGTGTAGATGCTGTGGCAGGAGCAGGGACCATGGGGCTGGGAGAGGCTTCTGAGCCCCAGATCATGGCAGCGGGGCTGGCGGGGGCCACTCGTCCCTGCTCAGCTCAGCTGGCACCTGTGGCTGGCAGGGGCCAAGAAGCCCTGACCTGAAAAACCTGGCCCCCGGAACACAGACAGACCTGTATTTCCCACATGGGTTCACACGGGGTTGGGACCCATGGGGCCTACAGTCCAGCGGGGTAGAGATCAGCCATCCCTCCTGCCCCAGGTCATGCACGCACCTGTGAACACACACGTGTACTGAGCATGTGGGCGGGTCCTCTGTGCGGGTCTCCCCAACAGTCTGCTACCCCCAGCACCTCGGAAGGAGCCTCTTATCCTGGGGGGGGCGGGGCCTGGGGAAACAAACAGCATTCTAGAAGCCACTTGAGCAGAGTTCTGAGGGAATCCACTTACACACACTCCAGCCTGTGTTTTCTTATTTTTTTTTAAAGATTTTATTTATTTATTCATAAGAGACACAGAAAGAGAGAGGGGCAGAGGGGCAGAGGGAGAAGCAGGCTCCATGCAGGGAGCCCAATGTGGGACTAGATCCCAGGACTCCAGGATCATGCCCTGGTCCGAAGGCGGCCGCTAAACCGCTGAGCCACCCAGGGATCCCCTGCATTTTCTTTCTTAAAAGGGATCTGCCTGGGAAAAAGCCTTTAGTTCTTCCCACCTCCCCTTCTTTGCTGCCCTGCCCTGGGGCGTGAAAGCCCAGGCACCAGTCAGAGGGGATCCCTTGCGGATGCTTGGCATCTGTAGGGGAGCCAGGCAGAAACAGTCCATAGAAACCCAAGGGGTGTTTCCTCCGGGCCGCAAACCCTCCGCAATGGGCCAGGCCTTATCGGGCTGTCCTGCTGCTGTGACAGTCCACTATTTATCTATGAGTTAGAATTCAGAAATGAGATGTTGTCTCAGGGGTGGGTGTCAAGAGGTTTATTTCAAGTAAAAACAAAACAAAACAAACCCGATGTCAGCTTTTTAACATCTTTCTTCCCGGCGATCGGTCTGATTTGTTGGATTGATTTGGCAAATAAGGATTGGTTTTGCTCATTAGAGACATTTCCATAAATGGAGTGAATGTGATCTGCAGCCCCAAGGATGTGGATGAAACTATAGTTAGAAAAAATACAATAATGATGGAAATTGCATCCTTTGCAACTATTTAAACTTAGGATAAAACTTTTAAAAAAATTTTTCTTTAAATATTTTATTTATTCATGAGAGACACACACACAGAGAGAGAGGCAGAGACACAGGCAGAGAGAGAAGTAGGCTCCCTGTGGGGAGCCCGATGCGGGACTTGATCCCAGGACCCCAGGATCACGATGTGAGGCAGAGGCAGGCACTAAACCACTGAGCTACCCAGGGATCCCCAAGATGAAAACCTTTTAAATGTCGACTGAAAACACGGGAAGGGTGACATAGTTCCATAATCTTCCTTTTTAAAGCACCAAATGACCACAGGTCTTTCCCAACTGCTCTTGTCTCAGAGCTGAGGCCAGCAGTGGGTGCTGACCATCCAATCTCCACCAACAGATAACGGTGGTTGAGTCATGGTCCCCCTTCCCCAGTTCCCACCTCAGCTGCATCATTGCTGCAAGGCCCCCGGAAATGAAATGCTGTGGAGGGAGCAGCGTGTGCATGTGTGTGGCTGGGTGTGGAGTGGGCGAAGGGAGAATGGATGCTGTGAAGCTGCCCAGAGGGGAGTGTGGACAGTGTGGGGGTGTTGGAGGCCTGGTGACCCGGCTCTGCCCAGTGTCGATGACCTCGGGAGAGGCTTCACCTTCCTGGGTCACTGTGCCATGGCCCTAAGACCCAGCAGTTTGTCCACAGGGAAGGGCTTGGCTAAGTTTAGAGTGGGGCAGAGCGCAGGGTTAGCTGTGGTCAGAACCCTCCTTCCAATGGGACAGGGAGGTGCCACAGTCGGTCCGTTGATGATAATATTTAAAACCAACACTGATGTGGCCTTTACCATGTGCCAGACACTGTCTCAGGTGCTCTGTAATCACTCCTTTACCCTTCACAACAACCTCTCGGGGCAGGGATCACTCTTGTTCCGGTTTAACCCATGACACACTTGAGGCACAGAGAGGCTCTGGGCTTGCTGAAGGTCACACAGCTATCTGTAGAGTCCTCTCTGCACCTGCTGCTCCTTCCTTCCTCTCACTGTGTCACAGATGTCCTCTGAATCTGGAGCTGCCGGGAGTAAAGGAGTGCATGTGCGTGTGTGTGCCTTCCCCTTGGGGGTAGGTTTCTCCATCTCAGGGCGTCTGAGGGCTAAGTTGTTTCCATCCTATAAAGAATTCCTGCCCAAAATCTCATAAAAGTATTAGAAGATTTAGGGAAATATTTTTATGACCTTTGGGTGTAGAGGATATATGTTAAGAAGATAAGACGGGGCACCTGGGTGGCTCAGTGGTCAAGCGTCTGCCTTCAGCTCAGGTCGTGACCCTGGGGTCCTGAGATCGAGTCCCACATCGGGCTCCCCTCTGGGAGCCTGCTTCTGCCTCTGCCTGTGTCTCTGCCTCTCTCTGTGTCTCTCATTAATAAATAAGTAAAATCTTAAAAAAAGAAAAAAGACAAGAAACAGTCCCCTACTAGAGGAAGATTGATACAGTTAGAGCACATTGTGTATGACCGTGCTTGAAACTCTAAATGCAGTTAGTAACAACTATGGATTACATTTAAGCATTTACATAAAGCTAGTCCCTGCCTTTTATATGCTTTATTTCATTTGTCTTCTCCATAACCTTCTGTGGGAAACACAGTTACTATCTTATGATATCATCGATTTAAGGGGAACAGAAGAGTTAAGGAATTTGCCCCAGGGTCACGCAGCCAGGCAATCTTTGGGTCAGGATGTGAGCCCAGGGAGTTCAGTTCCAGGATTTACATTTTTAAATCCTTAAAACAAGTATAAGGGACCGTGAGAAACGATTTGCAAACAAGGGGCCCCACAGAAAATGGGCAGAGGATGTGAGAACAGGAACTTCTGCTCAGCCTCGCTGGACATAAGGGCGATGCAGATTAAAACATCAGCGAGACACCGTCTGCTGTCCAGCCGTTAAGTGAACAAAAATAATATGATTGATCATATCAAATGTCAGCAAGGCAGCTGGCACGTACCTCTGCGCAAGTGTAAATGGGCACAGCCTTCTCGAGGCCTACTTAGGCGGTAGCTATTAAAATTCTAAATGCCGCTGACACCAAAGACCATTCTCTGCGGAGTATTAGGTCGAACCATATTAAATTGCCAGTGTTTTGTAGGTCAAAACTGGCCTAATTTCTGCCACCGCATGTGGCTCAGCCCAATACTGGAGGGGGCGGGGAGGGGGCGGGGCTGGGGCCCGAGATGGGAGGAGTCTGGGCGCCCATAGGCTCAGGCAGTGTCCATCATCGGCGCCCAGCGAATGGACACTGGCGTGGGGCGGGGTCTCTGCTGGAGGCGGGTCCGGGCCGCCTCCCTCCACCTGCCGCGGGCGTGGACGCTCTCCCGGGAGGAACCGGAGCCGCGGGCCTGGTGCGTGGGGCAGAGTCGCGCACTAACATGCAGCTCTGTTGTCCCTACGGGGTCGTGGACGTTTTCCTTAATCCAGCCACCACTTCCGAGGGCTCACTGTACAAACGGGAGACACATCTGACAGTGCAGGAGGAAGGTTCTACCTACTTGGAAGAACCAATCCCCTCTCTCTAAATCCTGCTGGGCCGCGTCCCACCTCCCTCTGCCCCCAGCAGGGACGTGACGGCAAAACCAGACCGGGCCGGGCGTGGGGAGGGACACGTTCTGTGAAGACAGGGCCCCTGCGCGGCTGCCTGTGCGACCCCATGGGCTGCCCCTCACTCTGCCCCAGGCCCTGCCCTATGCCCGGCCTCATGCGCGGCCCCATGGGCTGCCATGCTCTACTCCATGCTCTGCCCCATGAGCGGGCCCACGCTTGGCCCCACACTTTGCTCCACGCATGGCTCCATGCACGACCCCATGGCCTGCCCCATGCTCTACCACATGTTTTGCCCCACTGTCGGCGCCACACTCTACCCCACGCACAGCCCCAGACTGGCCTCCACCTTCACTTCTGCATCACAGCCTCCCAGACAAGCCAGGGGAGGCTCAGAGGGGTGGAGTTCGCAGGTCCAGGGGGCACATGAGCAAGCCCAGCCCCCCAGTCCCCTCCCCAGTCCCCCTGATTCTGGACTTCTGGGCATTGGGTTATGTGTTAGGGGCATGGCAGGGGGTCACCTTACCTGATCTCCCCCTGGCTTCCACCCACCACCGGGTGCCAGCCTATGGCTTTGGAGCCCATCCTGTGTGTGGGCTGCAGGCTGCCTGCCCACCCACCTGGGCAGGGAATGCATGTGGTCTTGCCTGTCCCCTCCAGTCTTCATCTGCTGCCTGCTGCTGTCCGCACCTGTGTTTGGCTATCTGGGTGACCGGCACAGCCGCAAAGCCACGCTGAGTTTTGGGATCCTGCTCTGGTCAGGTGCAGGCCTCTCCGGCTCCTTCATCTCCCCCCAGGTAGGTGCCCTCACCCCTGCAAGGCCTCCAGGGACCTGCCCCCACCCCCTGCCCTGCTGGCTCCCTGGGGAAGGTGCATGGCCTGCTTCCATCCCCTCGGGGCTCCAGGCAGGCTGCAGGGGTGCCTTCCAGGGCCCCGAGAGGACCCCCTAAATGCTCTCATCGGGAACCTTCCTCTCCTGCACCCCCGTGGCTGCCTGGGGGGCTTGGGAGTGACCTCCACTCTCTGAAGGAGCTGGCCCGGCTGGCAGAGGTGAGAGGCCCAGGAAGAGGGCTCCCCTGGGCCTGGGGCTGGCGGTGGCTGTGGCACCAGCAGGGGGCACCCTTGTGATGTCAGGGACCTGGCCTGGGGGGAAGGCCAGGGGTCCTTAGTCCTGACCCCACCTCGTCCCCTGGGGGCATGTGTCATCCGGAGCTCAGCCTCTGACACAACCTCCTGTCCATGCCCCCTGGGTGACCTCGGGACTCACTGGGGTCATGTGCCTGTGTACCCAGCATTCCTGGCTCTTCTTCCTGTCCCGGGGAGTGGTGGGCATGGGCTCCGCCAGCTACTCCACCATCGCGCCCACCGTCCTGGGAGACCTCTTTGTGAGGGACCAGCGGACCCGGGTGCTGGCCATCTTCTACATCTTTATCCCTGTTGGAAGGTTGGTATCCCCAGAACCCATGTCCTCAGCTGGTAGACCTGAGGGCCAAAGGAACCAGGGGATAGGACTTGAATCCCAGCCCTCCTCCTTCCTCGGCACCCCCCTTGGGCTCTCTGGGCCTCAGTTTCCTTCTCTGTAAAGGTGGGGGAGGACACCAGCCAATGGCTGTGTCAGGGTGCTCCCTCTACCTGAGGACCCTTGAGAAGGGCTGTGCAGGGACGTGTGTGCGGAGGGCCAGGTGGCCAGGGGGCAGGCGGGTGGATCAGCGTGGGGTTTAGAGCCTGGCCCCTGACTCTGATCCAGGCTTTCTGGAACCGCCTGACTCAGGCCCAGGGCCCTGGGTCCTCACAGAAGGCGGCAACGGGCAATGCTGGTGGGCCCACAGCCAAAGGTCACCAGTGACTTGACCAAGGGCAGTGGACATCTGGGCCTCACGTGGCTCACTTTTCCCGTGATGGGACTGTGAGCAGCAAAGAGTCGGGTCCTGGGGGGGGGATGTCCCGGCATGGGCTGGGCCCCATAACCTTGGGCCTGCCCCCCCCCCCACTGACTGTGCCCCGTGCCCCTCTGTCACAGTGGCCTGGGCTATGTGCTGGGGTCGGCCGTGTTGCAGCTGACTGGGGACTGGCGTTGGACCTTCCGAGTGAGTCCAGCCTCCCACCCCCCCCATTGCCGGGGCCAGCAGGGGCTTTCCAGCCTCCGGTGACCTTAGCCACTTGGCAGGGCAGCTGGCGCCACGGGGGGTGGTCAGGCTTTGGCAGCTTCAGAAACCCGGCAGAACATGAGCCGTGGAGGTCGCGTCCCTGGTCAGAGGCTGGCCTCGGGGCTCCCGAGCTGGGGGAGCTCCAGCAAGTGGCTTGTAACGTGGGGCAGGGGAGCACGCGCTTCCTCTGGAATCTAGGAGGGTGGCTGGGGCTGAGAACATCCCAGGGCAGAACTGGCACCATGGGTGGATGTGCTGCTGAGTGGCTACTTCAGGCTCCGGTCCTTAGCTGCCAGCCTGCGGGCCCCAAGGAGTAGTGCCCACCGGACATGTTAACGGAAGTCCCCAGGGGACCCTGCTCCTCAGAGGAGCTGAACCCCCTGGGTGAGGCTAGGTCAAGCTCTCTGATATCTGCAGCCCAGAAAGGAGGCCCCTGCCCCACCCCAGGCCCGCAGGTCTCCCCAGTCACAGGCCTGCAGTGTGGCCTGAGCCTCCCCCATCCTCCCACCCCCCATGCCCAGGTCATGCCGTGCCTGGAAGTCACAGGCTTGATCCTGCTCCTGACACTCGTTCCAGACCCGCCCCGGGGAGCTGCTGACAAGCAGGAGGAGGCGGCCATGGGGGCTGGGAGGAGCAGCTGGTGTGAAGATGTCAGGTACCTGGGGACAAAGTGAGTGTCCTCCCCCCCCAAGAACCCCGTGAGCCCCAGCACCACTGACCTGCCTCCCCCACCTCCAAGGAACCCATCCTGACTGCCCCAGTGTTCAGGGTCTTCCTCCCCTGAGCTCCCCCTCACCTGCATAGGTGCTCCGCCCTCACCCTGTGACAGCACAGGGGCAGCAGGGGAGGGAGGGGGAGGCAGTGCGGCACCAACTCTGCCTTATCCCCGAGTGACCTGAGACTTGGAACCTTGTTCCCCTCATGTATTCAATGGATGTAATCCTCTCAGGGCTGCCTGGAGGATGTTGGGAGTTAATCAGTCACCTCTGCCAGCCTTAGGGAGCATATCCATCCTGTTCCAGGCATGGGCTGGGGGGTGGTCCGTGCACTCCCAGACCTCATGACTAATGGGAACATGGGGCGCGGGCAGGACCCAGCACGATGTGACATGGAGCCATGAGACCCTGGAGGGTGCCTGGAGGAAGCAGGGCAGCGGGGCAGCTTCCCGGAGCCTGTGCTGCTGGTGTCAGGCCCTCTGGGATGGGGAGAGCTGGCCCTGCAGTGAGGAGAGGGGAGGCCCGGGGGGGGGGGGCGTCGGGGAGGATTGGGACCTGAGCCTGCCAAGCATCTGAGCACCCGAGTGGACAGGGTCCAGCAGTGGGGGTGGGGGGGGAGCCCATGGCTCTGCAGCCCCAGCCCTTTGCTCAGCTGGGTGCCTTTTCTTGCAGCTGGAGTTTCGTGTGGTCCACCCTGGGGGTGACTGCCATGGCCTTTGTGACTGGAGCTCTCAGCTTCTGGGTTCCCAAGTTCTTGTTCGAAGCCCGTGTGGTGCATGGACTGCAGCTCCCCTGCATAACGGACCCGTGCAGCAACCAGGACAGGTGAGGGGCCTGCGGGTGCCTGGGCCCTGAGCCCAGGTCAGGTCCTAGGTGGCTCTGAGCCCCACAGCTCCGTGTCTCTGAAGAACCCAGGACTGGGGTTCCAGCTCTGGCTGAGCTCCTGGGATCTAGGTGGCCATAGGCGAGCATCCTCCTGCCGCTGGGCCCCAGGCCTCCTGCACCTGGGCTGCTGTGGGGGTCCAGAAGGTGCTCAGGAGAGGAGCGAGGCCTCGTGGGGCCTGTGGGGTGATGGGACCTGCAGTGTGAGGTCAGCCCGTTCTACATTTTATATCGAGGCTCTGGGATGTTTCTTCCTTTCAGGGCTCAGCCTTTCGCACGTGCCCTCACATGTTCTCTGCCTGCTGTGGGGCCAGGAGCCCTGGGGAAGCTGCCAAGATGTTGGGGAGGGAGAGAGAGCCTCACAGAAGGCGACATGCTCCCACTCCCACCTCTTCCTGCACTGTGCTCAGGCCCCACACCCTTGCACCCCCACCCTGTCACACCCTCCAGCCTCCTTATCTCCACCTCACTCTTCGGTCCCCCCGGGCTCCTGCCCTGCCCTGTGGCTCAGCGTCATGGTCTGTGCCGCCACAGGTGCCTGTGTCCACCTGCATCCATCTGCTTCCACCTGCATCTACCTACATCCACCTTTGTCCACCTGCATTCACCTGTCTCCACCTGCATCCGTGTCCACCTGTACCTACCTGTGTCCACCTACTTCCACCTGCATCCACCTGCATTCATGCATCCACCTTTGTCTGTCCACCTGGATCCACCTTCACCCACCTGCACCCATGGATCCACCTGTGTTCACCTGCATCTACCTGCATCTGTGCATCCACCTGTGTCCACCTGCATCCACCTGTGTCCACCTGCTTCCACCAGCATTCACCTGCACCCGTGCATCCACCTGAGTCCATCTACATCCACCGGTGTCCACCTCCTTCTCCCTGGCCCAGAGAGAGCCTTCATGTGATTTCCGGAGTGGCCCATGGCCTCTCACTCATCTGTGCCTTGGCCTGAGCTGGGCCTTCTGCCTGCAGCCCCTTCCCTCTTCCCATCATCACTTCTGAAACATTAATGGGAGTTCAGGCCCCACAAAGAGCGTTTGACCTGAATGCCCCTCTGAGGTTTTAGGATAACAAACTCCATTATTCCTGCATTACCCACAAGGAGAGGGAGGATGAGCAAGGGTCCCTGAGCTGTCCCAGTGGCAGAGCCAGACTCAAACCCATCTGACTCCTGACACCACGTCCTGGTGTGTCCAGGGCCACCTACAATGGCTGGTGCATGTGGACACCCCGAGGAGAGCTGGGAGCAGCCTCTGGTATATAGCAGGTTCTCAGGGGAGGCGCCGGGAAGGCGTGAAGGAATGCCTCTGATGGGGCTGTGCTGCTGGCCAGGGCTCCCAGTGAGACAGAGCCCTGGAGGTTCTGCAGAACCACAGCAGCCTGGAAGCTCCACTCAGCTCCTCCACGGAACCCGGGTGGCAGGCAGCACAGACGTGTAGCTCACAGTGACACAAGTATTCTCAGGGGCCCGGAGGCTGCACGCCCATCCAGGCTCTGGGGACTGTCTCTCCTGCCCCTTCCCCTCAGGGCTGCCACTGCTCCTTGGCTTGTGGCTGTGTCCACGGTCAGCTGCCTCGTTCTCTGGTGCCTCCTTCTGTTTCCCTCTTCCCGGGACATGGTGGTCACAAGTGGGGCCTCTCCAGCCTCAGGACCCTGAACGCAATCATGTGTACAAAGTCTGCTATCCCTCTGTGTGTGTGTGTGTGTGTGTGTGTCTCATGAATAAATAAAATCTTTTAAAGGAAAAAAAAAAGGGCAGCCCGAATGGCTCAGCGGTTTAGTGCCGCCTTCAGCCCAGGGCCTGATCCTGGAGACCCAGGATGGAGTCCCATGTCAGGCTCCCTGCATGGAGCCTGCTTCTTCCTCTGCCTGTGTCTCTGCCTCTCTCTCTCTCTGTCTCTCTCCTGAATAAATAAAATCTTTAAAAAAAAAAAAAGTCTGCCATCCAGGGAGCAGTCTCAGGTGTTGGAGATTAGGACATACACATCCTGGGAGGGGCGGTTGTTCAGCCTGCCACAAGGTAGGAGGGAGGTCCTGGCATTGGTGTTATATACCCACCTTGGCTATTAACCCACCCTCCATGGTTGGGGTGAGCCCCAGGGCGAGGATGCGGCAAAGGCAGGAAGCTCCAGGACCCAGGATCCCAGCACAGCCCCTGGGAGAACCTCTGACACCAGAGCTGGCCCACACAGAAGGGGCTGCGCAGGCAGTAGTGAGCTTTCCACCCCTTGGGGCACGTGAGTAGGAGGTGGACAGATGCCTGCCAGGTCTGGTGTGCAGAGGATCAGCATAGATCATCTTGGCTCTGAGAGTCGGATTCTGGGAAGGCCTTGCAGGCTGGGTGGCTGGGTGGCCAGATCCATCCTCTGGCCACATCTCCTGCTCAGGGGCCAGTGCAGTGGCCCTGTCTGAACAACCAGCCCTAAGGGTCACAGGGGTCTCAGGGCCTGCCAGGGCTCCAGGGCAGGAAGCATTCATCCAGGACCTGGGGACCCATGGTAGGCTGAGCCGGAGCCTTGCACAGTTTGCAACACTGTGTGTGGGGGTGGTTCCTGGAGTACCCACGTAGGCTAGAAGGCTGGGCTGTGCCAGTGAGGTGCTGCAGGACCTGCAGCAGGTTCCTGCCCTCTCTGGGCCTACATTCTCCCCTATAAACTGGGAGGGGGGATGGACGTCACGGGGGTGGCAGGTTTGGTTCTCGGTGCTGGCAGGGGGCTTGCCTGAATCATGCAGGGGCTGCCTGGGGTGGGCGAGGCCCTGACTACTTGGGGCTTCATGCTGGCTGCCATCCGTGTCCCTCTGAGCCCTTTAGACGGATGCCGAAGTGGGGGCCCAAGGGCTGCTGCAGCGTCCAGGTAGGGGTTGGGCAGTGGCATGCTCAGGTCTGTACTGGAGAACGCAGCCTCTGGGGGCCTGTCTAGGTCTTGTTCTGGACAGACGGCCTTCCCTGGGGGTGGAGGTAGGGGTGGGGATGGAGCAGGGGCAAGGTCAAGGGCAGGGCAAGGCCAGGGCAGGGGCAGGGTGCAGGGGCAGGGGCAGGGGCTGGGTCAGGAGCAGAATCAGGGGCAGGAGCAGGGGCAGGGGCAGGGTAGGGCAGGGGCAGGGGCAGGAGGGAAAAGCAGCATGAGGATGGGGCACCTGAGGGGCGTGCAGGGCCGAGGGGAACCACAGGGCCAGGTGGCCAGGTGACGGCCAGGTGACCCCAGGTGTGGGGTGGGGGTTCAGTGACCAGAGGTTCACTTGCCCACGATCCTGTGAGTGAGGGGGACGAGGAGGTGAGCAGGTCTGGGTGCAGTGCGATGGTTAAGATTTCTGTGGGGCTGTGGGACACTGAGTGTGGGGATAGTCCCTGGAGCTGAGGCTAGCTGGGCTGGTCACCCCCACAGCCAGGGCCATCCCCACAGTGGGCAAGACGGCGTGGCAAGCAGGGGGTTCCGGGGCCCTGAGGACCCAGGAGTGAGGTCACGAGGAAGGCAGAGCTGAGCCCCGCACTGACCGCTGCACCCTCTTATCTCCCACATCAGCCTGATTTTCGGGATCCTCACTGTGGTGACCGGCATCATTGGGGTGGTCCTGGGGGCAGAGGCCTCGAGGCGGTTCAAGAGAGTGAACCCGCGGGCGGAGCCCCTCGTGTGTGCCTGCAGCCTGCTGGCTGCCGCCCCCTGCCTCTACCTGGCTCTCCTCCTGGCCCGGACCACCTTCACCGTCTCCTACGTAAGTGCGGGGTCCCTACGGGGGACGGGCGGGCGGCCCTATCTATGCTGGCTGACACCGCACCCGTCTCCACATTATGTCCACCACTCCTTCCAGGTGGACTTTGCCGTTCCCGGTTTACAGACGGGTAAACTGAGGCTTACCCAGAGTAGCACAGCTGGGAAGGAACACAACGGGGTTTTGAGCCCGAGCCTCTGTGACCCTGAGTGCGTCCTCCGCATGGCCGGTTAGCACTTCGGGTGGAGACCGAGGGACCGGGTGTTCCTGGAGGCGCCGGGGGCTCAGGGGGCCGAGGGTGGTTCTTTCCGGCTTAGAGGCTCGGGCTGGGGCTCGGGCTGGTCCGGCCGGCGTAAGGGTGACGACCCAGGAGAGGCAGGCGTCCCAGGCAGGGCCGGGGTCACACGCGCCTCCCGCGCTCCGCGGAGCCCCTTCTGCCCCGCATCCCTAATTCGTGTCTGCGGCCAGGTTCCAAGGCTACGGCTCCTCCAGCCTTTCTGGAACACTCCACGCTCCCGCGGGACGTCACCCTACCGGCCTGGGCTCTTCTCACATTGGGGTCGCGGGGCCACCGGGGTGGGTGGGGCTTCTCTGGCGCCTGTGCTTTGGCCTTAGGGCGCCCCTCTAGCAGCGGGGATTGGGGTGCTCAGGTCACCGCAGGTCTCCCTCAGGCCCGAGGGCAGGACTGGCGCAGGGGCTCCTTCCGGGTGTTCGGCCTGAGTAGGGGCATCTACAGAGACCTCAGCAAACAGATGGCTCCTGAGGCCTCACAGTGCCCCGCCAGGGGCGGGGGGGAGTGCATCTCACCCGGCACACAGATTGGAAGACTGAGGCCTGGAGGGGGCCACATGGACTGTGGGGCGGACGAAACCGACACGAGTCTGTGTCCTTCATGCTGTCCTGACCCTGTCGTCCCCGTGGCATACAGTAGGCGCTAATAAAGGCCTGGATGCACATTGACATCCTGGCTGGGGGAGCTGAGGACGGCAGGAACAGCATCCAGGCTGCAGGGCAGCATCTACCTGACCTTGCAGCGGCGGATGCTCCTGGAGGCCTGTCCCTCCATGTCTGGGCACCGACCCCTGCCAGCTCTGCGTCTGCCACACTCTCCGCTGGCTCCAGGCAGCGGCTCCTTGGCTGCGCGCTGGGCACACAGCTGTCCCCCCTCTGCCACCTGGCCCATCTCCAGGGCCGGATGGCTCATCTGGAAAGGACATTGCGCCCCGGCTGGCAAAGCAGCCAGAGAAACCCTTCTGGGGGCCTGCGACGGGGTGAGGGGCAAGGAGTGACATGGTGAGGGGGCGATGGCGAGGGGCAGGTCGGGGCAAGGGGCAAGGGGGGCAGGATGGCAGGCAGGACAGCGGGCAGGCCTGGGATGCGTCCCTCCTCTGCTGCTGGGAAGCGGCTCCCTCCAGGCCGAGGTCAGGCTGCACTGACCCCCCAGGCCCCGCCTTCCAGGCTTCTGGAGCTCGCAGGTCCAACCAACATTCCATCTTGAGGTCCAGGCTGCAGCCCCAGGCCTGGGCTCACCCGCGTCTCCCCTTCCTCCAGGACCGGCGCCAGGATGTGTCCCCGCGGGCGCCTGGCTCTACCCTCACCCGCTGCAGTGTCTCCCACACAGAGGGGGCTCCCTGTGCTTCTGGGGCCAGTCTAGCTCCTCCTGCAGGCACCCGAAGCCCCTGTTGGACCTCCCCAGGGCCTTTGCAGCTGTTTGCCCCCCCATCCTGACACCCCGGCTTCTCCCCCCACCCCTCCTGTTCCCCCCAGTCCCTCCTTGGGGCCCTTCTTGACTGCGGTGCCCTGGGGCTGAGGGTCCACCGCCTGTGCCCTTACTTGTGCTCTGACTCCTCTGACCCAGATGGGGCCTGGGGTGGGGCCCATCTTGCTTGGCTCTTGGCCTGAGACACACTGCCAGACACGTGGGGTCACGGCATGCAGAGTGGACAGCTGTGTGAAAAGCCACACCGTTCAGTCACTCAACAAACACTCGCACCCGTAGGGTGGGGGCTGGTTCGAACTTCAGGGATACAGCGGTGGGTGAGAGAGGCTACAGTGTCTGCAGCCTGGTGGAGGGAGACAGCGGGTGGGCAGGACATGCTTCACGGTATCTCAGGTGATGTGGAGCTCAGGACGGGGGTGCCAGGGATCAGGGGTGTGTGGGGCAGATTTATGGGCCATGGGGTCCCCAGGAGGAGGTGTTGGTGAACACCTGGAGGCCGTCCCGGAGCCCATGGAGGAGGGCTGGAATGGGTCCCGGGGCAGCAGCAGGCACACCGCGCTGGAGAGCCACCAGGACCCCATAGAGGGATGGAGAGGGGGACAAGGTGGTAGGGCCGGGGCACATGGGGACTGGTTTTACTGAGAGAGGGGTTTGCCCCGGGCGGGGGTCTGTCCAGGTGACAGTGTGCTCGTCGTTCGCTGGCCTCACATTCTCGCGGGTGCGTGTGGGACGTGGCACCTGTGTCCATGGGGAATCGTGGCTGCGGTTTCCTTGCAGTTGTTGGCCTTGGCACCTGGGCCACGCCCCCTGGCTCATGCTGACGAGTCTGTCTTCCTATCCCACGCTGGGGAAAGACATGCGTTAAGTCCCCTACAGAAGCAACAGGATCCGCAGTGGCGCCGTCTGGGTCTGGGCTCCTCTGAGGGAAGGTCCATGGTTCCAACCGGTCACTACTTGTCACGCATCCATGAAGACTTCTCGTTTCTTCCTCTGGCATTTGCAGTGGTTGGCAGCTTCCTAAGGATTTGGGCTTCATGGGGGAATCTGGTCGGGGTGTGCGGTGCTAGTGTCCCCATGAGGCCTCCTCCATCCTGGCTTCAGGGACGAGGGTCCTGTCCTGTCCTCCTGGTCAGTGTCGCCAAGGAGTTGTCCATTTTGCTGCCAACTTTGATTTTATTGAGTTTCTCTATTCTTCTGATACTGCCCCCATTTAGGGCAGTCGGGCTGGCTTCTGTGGACATGGGCACCCTTATCCGGGCAGGGTGGTCCGGGCAGTGGGGTGGGCCAGCGCTGCAGCATGGATGCCGGAGAGTGGATCACAGGTGTGTCTTGGAGGAATTTCCAGATGATTCCACATGGGGTGTGAGAGAAAGAGGAGGCGCAGGAACACAGAGACACCAGCCTGGGCAGGAGGGACCATCATCAGGCTTGGGGGCGTCTGGGTCAGTGTCAGAAAGAGTGAGAAACAGAATGGTGTTCACAGTAGGAAGCGTCGTCGCATCCCTTCTGTCTGTCTGTCTATATCTCTGCGCATTCTCAGGTTCCAGGGACTTGCTCTTCCTGCCCCGTGTCTCACTGCCCGGGGGAGGTAGATACTACTTCCAGGAAGGGTGCATGGACCTACAGGCATGTGAGCTCATGTGAGCATGCATTCAGGGGCGAATGGGGTCCAGTCCAGAGACACTAGCATGCACACGTGAGTGCCAGTGTGTACTCACGTCTGTATCCCCATGTGGTCTCGCCGAGCGTGGATTGTAGGCACGTGTGAGTTCATTCCATAAGTGCCTGGAGTGTAGCAGTGTGTCTGAGTGTGCTGCTCTGCACACGGGACTGTGTACATGAGTGTGTCAGGGCAACGGGTAGGTGTGTGGGATGTGCATGCACACACGTGTCTGCCGCTGAGCATGGCGTCTCGTGGCTGTGGGCATGCTGCTCAGGGAGGAGGGGCCGCCCCCACATTTCTTGGAGAAGCCAAGCTGTGTGGCATGTTTACCGGCAGTGGGTTCCTGGCCCGTGCAGTGGGGTCTGGGGAGCCCTCTGGGGCACTGTGCCTGAGACCCACCTGCCGGCACCCAGCCCTCCGTCTCCTCCCTCCTTTTGGGCTCCTTGGCAGGCGCAGTGGGCTTCTCGGCTGTTAATTAGGCTCCAGACACACACAGCAGGCCTTGGCTCGCACTCGGGTCCTTGGCCTCCTTCCCGGAGCCTCCGCCCTTCAGAGGAGAAGGCTCTAGGCTCTGAGGGCTGAGCCTCAGGCACGGAGGCTGGAGGATGGGCTGAGCGCCCACCATCCCCCTGGCGGGGGACTTTGGGGCCATAGGAGGGGCATATCAGGCCATGCTCCTGCTCTGAGTCCCGGCCGGGGGCGCTGCCACGGGTGTGAGGCCTCAGGGTGCTATAAAGCAGCAGAAGTATTTGCTTTGCTCGTGAGTCCCTTATCTCTTTTCTGCCTGAGCTCAATGGGGCAGCATGGGGTGGGGCCCATCAAAGGCGGGGGGTGGGGGGCTGGGTCTTTGGCTGAGCTGCCCGTGGCTTCTGCCCGTGGCTTCTGCCCGTGACCCAGCCCTCGTCCTAGCGCAATACCCAGCCCCCAGGGACTAGAGTCCCAAGAGCGCAAGGTGATGCCTCGAACATCACATGCCATCCCTCTGCCGTTGTCTGTCTCTCGATTGAGCCACGGCTGCCTGCTCAGAATTGAGGGGAGACCCAGGCTCTTGAAGGAGCAGGTGGAGATGCTCAGTGGCTGGGTGGGAACACAAAATCTGGGCTCCAGCACAGGGAGGAGTTGGGACGTGGCCGTGAAGCCCCACAGCTATGGGCCACCCCAGGGGTTGCTAGCCCCACCTGCGCCTCTGGCCTCACAAGCGGGGAACTAGCGGGGGGTCTTCACCCTCAAACCCCCACTGTGCCCTGAGGGTCCCGGGAGTGATAAGCAGAAACATTCACACTCACATCGGATGCTTCCTGAGCATGTCCCGTGCACCAGGCACTGTTTCAGGCTCTGGGGATCTAACACTGAACAAAATAGGTGAAAATATGTATGTGATCAATCAAACATGTAGTGGAGCATCTGCCTCAGGCTGAGGGGCTGAGGTCAGGGTGCAGTGGGGAGGGAGCAGCCAACGGGAGGCCCTGGGGGAAAGCATGGCCTGTCTTCTCTGCGGCTCTTCCCTTGAAAGATATCTGATGTGGTCTAATTTTCTTTACCTTGCTTTGCATTTGTTCTGGTGTCTGTTGGCATCAAACATGCCTTAGACGGTAAAGTTAGCCTAATGTTTGTTTGTTT